AAAACACATCAACCCAAAAGCTGCCTGATTACATATTGACCTGCAGACAAAGTGAATCCAATGGAGCCAGGTTGGCCCCTTAGGAAAACTTCAGGCTGTTCATTATGGCCAGGGATGAGCTCACTGGCAGATTAACTCCATCCTCACCACTTGTGATGCTACAAGCCTTCAGTGCTCGCAGTGAAGCCTTCAGTGATTTGCAAGTTTTCCATGAAAACAGGGACCACGGGGTCCTTTTACGTGGTGCAAAGTGTTTAGGACTTGTTGCAACCTCATGTATGATCCTGTTGAGGAGCTGGAGAGCTCAGGAGAGGTTTCCATCAGCTCTGGGTGTGGGATGGAGGAGGGCTGGGGGGTCTCCATCCCTGCAGAGGGTCCTGACAATAAAGCAGGAATTTCATACTTTCCTGTCAAGCCTCAATCCCACTGAGGAGGGGATCCCTCGGCCAGGCTTCGAGTTCAGGGGGGCATCAGGGAAGTGAGGAGTTTGCTTGGAAAAGAACAGAAATCCCTTGGCAAGAGCTGCCATGTGAATTTCAGGAATTTTCTTTTGCAGAAATCTTGTCCAAATGATGCTTTTTAACATTTAAACATTTAAGCCAACCCAGAGCTCCCTTTGACCCTAAACATGAGTTTGCTGTTTTTTACTGAGGAGTAAAAAAGGTGTTTTTCATACAGAAATGCAAGAAAAATAGGAATAAGGATGGCAAAACCCTTGCCTGGATCCAGCTCCCCCTTTGCACTATCACTGCACTCAAACAATGGATGGAGAGAGACTCAGTAGTGAACCAGGTTTCTTGTGACTCCAGGTGCCATCCCAGAAATTCCAGGTGTCCCATTTACAGCTCGGAAATGTTTCTGGGGTTCTGTAAACTTGCTCTAATTTCCAGCCTAATTTTTAAGCAGTTTGTCCCACTTGTTCTCCTGCCAAAGAATTCCATTAACCAAAACACCTCTTAAGCCTCACCTGGTTCCAATTTTGCTTCCTTCCTTCCTGAATTCATCAGGATTTTGCTGAGAGCTCCCCCCTTTTTGGCTAAACCAGCCCCCAGCCTCAGGTTTGCAACAAAGGCCTTGCATTGACTCCTCTCTCAAAAAAAGCCAGTCCAGAGTCGCTGCTGGAATTCCTAAAAAGCCAAGTTCTTCCTTGCAAATCAGTTGATTCCAGCTTCTTATAGATTAGCTGGAGCTGATAAACTTGGCATTAGGAACCAGGCACAGGTATTATCCCTTCCCTTGTCGGCTCTGGCCAAATCACAAGAGATCTGCGAAGATTTACAGAAATCTGGTTGGTTGGGATTTTTCCTGCCTCCTGCCAGCTCCTCTTGCCAGTTTGACCACTTGCCCACTCATCCTCCAAGAAGAGTGAGTCAGCTTGGCAAAAAAATAATAAATAAAATATTCCAAGCCAGTCCCAGCGTGGACTCTCTGCCCTGACCCAAACTGGACCCTTGGGACTGAAAAGTCACAAACCGTCCTGGCCATCGCTCCTCTGGCTCTTCCCAGCCCTGTCCTTGCTGAAATACCATCTCCCAGTTCACCTTGGATAGCAAAGTGCACTAAAACCCTGGAATCATGGAATGGCTTGGGTTGGAAGGGACATTAAAACTCATCTTGCTCTACTCCCTGCAATGGGCAGGGACACTTTCCACTAGGCCAGGTTGCTGGATTCATCCCAGCTGGAGGAGGAGGCTGAGGAAGCTCGGAGGTGGGAGGAATTAAACAGCTCCTCTTGCATCACTCTTTCCTTCATCCCATCATGAGCCCACCGGAACGAGATGATCTTTAAGGTCCCTTCCAACCCAAACCATTCCGCGATTCTATGATTCATAGGGAAGGATCCAGCCTTATTTTGACTGTGGTTTCCAGCAAAAATCCACGGCAGCACTTAGGGCAGGAGAAGAATAGTGATCAGATCGGGTCCTGTCCATGTGTCGTGGAGAAAAACCCGCTTTGCAAGGAAATAAACTCGGGCAATTAACTGGGAATTAAGATTTAGCAGCCGCCACGAGCAGCAGGAACGTGTAGAGGAGACAGCTGTTAAATTTGGGATGTGACAAAGTCATGCGAGCACTAACTGGATTACTTGCATTTATTTGGGAATACTGATGTATTTTATTATACAACATATAGATCACCATAATTCTGCTTTTCACTCCAGCGGCGCCTCCTCCCCCTCCCCCTCCAAGCGTCTTAGGGAGCTTTACAAACAATTAAGCTGCGCTTTCCATCCGCTTTGGGGGAATCCAGGGTATTTGGGATCGGAGATGGCTTAATTAATGGGATTGATTTTTAACCCTCTCTGAGCCAAAGCCTCGAGTTTCAGCTTTTAAAAGTTTGCTGCTCTTCGTGGGCTGACTGTGGGATGAACTGGCCCGGGTCACTGGAGTGAGTTTTCCAGGAATGCAGATGCATCCGTCCCTCCAGGGGTGGTGATTTTAACCCATTTAGGTGGGACATCAGGAGGAATTTCTGCATGGAAAGGGTGGTCAGGCACTGGAAGGGGCTGCCCAGGGAGGTGGTGGAGTCCCCACCCCTGGAGGTGTCCAAGGAATGACTGGGCGTGACACTCAGTGCTCTGGGCTGGGTGACAAGGTGGGGGTTGAGCATAGGTTGGGCTCGATGGTCTTGGAGGGCTTTTCCAACCTCACTGATTCTGGAATTCTCTAAAGGGGGGAGATGATAAATCCTGGAGAGAGGAGCAGAGCTTGGGTGATCACACAGTCCCAGAATTGGGTGATGGCTCCATGTGGGCTCCTCCCCCTCTGCAGACACCTCCATGTGTCCCCATGACCCTTGGAGGTGGCATAAGCTGCTGTTCAGCGCTTCCAACCTCCTTCTCTGGCAGGCAGTGACAGATAAGTGCCTCCAGTTGCCTCTCCAGGGAAGAGTTTTGGGAGGCAGAGTGTAATCCTGCCTGCTGAGTTCGGTCCAGACACTCTCAGACGTTATTAATCCTTTGTACCAGGCCAGCAGGGACCTGCAGCCTGCTCCAGGAATGTGCTGCAGGATGGGAGGGACAGGCATATCCCCAGTTTTCAGTCCAGGAGGCAGTAAAGGGATAGATGGATGAAGGATCCTTGGATCCACATCTCTGGGGGGCTCTCCTGGAAGATGTCAGATGTTTAACAACCTCGGTGTCAGTTTTTTCAAGCCTCAGGTGGCCCCATCCTTGGCACTGGGGGGGTTTAATCAGTGGGTCTGATGTCCCAGCCTTTCCCACAGACCACGTTGTGCCAAAAATGTGGCCTACAAGAGACCTGGAGAGGGACTTTGGGCAAGGACCTACAGTGACAGGTCAAGGGGGAATGGCTTCCCACTGCCAGAGGGCAGGGTTGGATGGGATATTGGGAAGAAATCCTTCCCCATGAGGGTGGTGAGGCCCTGGCACAGGTTGCCCAGAGAAGCTGTGGCTGCCCCATCCCTGGAAGTGTCCAAGGCCAGGTTGGATGAGGCTTGGAGCAATCTGGTCTAGTGGAAGGTGCCCCTGCCCATGGTAGGGAGTGGAACTGGATAATTTTTAAGGTCCCTTCCAACCCAAACCATTCCATGATTCTATGAAAAACAGGAGCAGTTTGCACCTCCTCTCCTAGCAATTTGCTTCAGCTCCTGCTTGGAGCATCCCTGCTCCTCCTAAAAGAGAGAACTGGGATAGCTGTCAGGGAATGGGCTGTAACATGTTTGTCCACTCCCCCAACCCTGCACGAGTGTTGAGCAGAGAGAGCACTGGACTCGAGGTGGGTAGAAAACCATTTCAACCCAATTTTCGGTTGCACTGTTCACAGGGGACCTGTGGGACCTGCAACAGCATCACCACAGCCCCTCCACCACCTTCAACAGCTGTGGAAAACGGGTTGGATCCACTTCCAGGGCTACTCCAAAGCAGCCCATTGATGTAAATAAAGCCCTTGTTAAGGCAGGGACACTTGGAAAGTGTCAGCGCCGGAACACGAGTGACGGCACCGGGAGCAGGGACCAGGCGTCCCTCCAGGCTCAGGGAGGTGACAGCACACAGTCACACCCCCCCTGGTTCATAGCCCTGGTCTGTGCCACACGATGCAATGCCAGGCACATTCCTGGCCCTGTTTTCCATTTCTAGGAGCCTGTCAGGAATGGCACTCCTCCCCGCACAGATGTCGGGAAATTAGAGGGAATTCAGAGAGCAGCAGAAAAAAAAAATGATTAAAGGAGATGGAGGGCCTGATTTTGGAGGGAAAAGAAATCAGCTGAGCTATTTATAGTGCTGCCTGCACCGGGGTGGGAACAGGAATTTTTAAAAGTGCCTGGATAGCTCGGAAAAGGGGAAGGGACAAAGCAGCCTCCGGAGGATGCTCTTAGAGAGGCTGTGTGAGGGTGTAAATCCGGAGTGATGGGATGAAATGTCATCAAACACGAGCATTTGGGGAATCATTGGTGAGTGAAGGGGACAGTTTTTCATCCAGAGGGAAAAAAATGCCCTCAGAAAGATGTGTTGAGGGGTTGTGGAGGTGGTACCAGTGCCAAACCCCCGCTCCAACCTCTGCTCCCAGTATTTATTTACATCCAGCATTTTACGCAAAACATGGGGGTGGGGATGGAAATCTTCCTCTTTTCATCCCAAAGCAAATCGTTTTGGTTAAAAAAAAAAACCAAACCAGCTTTAAATTCAGCACTTCAACTCCAGAGGCTTGTGGGAGATGCACAGAGAGGCTGCTGGGCTGGGATCCCCCACGGAGGGATGTGGGATGCAGGGGACCAACCTGCTCCAGGGTGATGCATCCCTGGGGGAACAAAGCATCCTGCTCCTGTTTCCACATTGATTTCCAGGCCGGGAAGCAGCTCATGAACGTGTTGTTGCTGTAACATCCCTTGTTCCTCAGCGAGCCCCAAGCTCCCCATGACAGCTCCCCTGTCGCAGCCAAAGGGTTTCAGAGCAAAGGGGTTCTGTGGGGGCAATTTGGGGTTGTCCATGCAGGGAGGAGCTGCCTAACGTGGTCCTTGTGTCTCCTGTTGCCTTGCAGGACCTCTCACTCCAGGGCCAAGGCAGAGGCGGCTGTGACAGCGGCGCAGAAAGCTCAGGAGGAAGCGCGGATCGCCAGGATCACTGCCAAAGAGTTCTCGCCTTCCTTCCAGCACAGGGAAAACGGTCAGTTCCGAGCCCTGCAGAGATCCAACCCCCCCAAAAGTGAGCCCTGAGCAGAAGCTCAGTCTGTGCCCGCAGCTCCCAGCCCTCGCCAGGATTCTTGGGGCGGGAAACCTCCCAGGAACACCAGTTTTCAGGGGATTTGGCTCAAGGCTTTCAATCTTCCACACTTCCACCTTGTTCAGGGCTTTTTTGTCTCCTCTTTTCACACCAAAACACATCCCATTGTCCGTGACGGTTGCACAGAAAAAAATGGCAAGGGCTCTGGGTGGAAAATGCAAACGCAGATGGTCCCAGAGGTCACCACTGATTTTACACCCAGGGCTTGTGTGGTTCATGATTTCTTTGGAATGCCTGAACCGGCACACTCTAAGACCTGATCCTTCCCTTGGCTGTGCAAATCAGTCATGTCTTTCAAGGTGTTGGGAAAATCCATGTTTGAGCTTGGCCTGGTAGCAAACCCTGCTTTCCTTCCACCTTCCTCAACATTCCTTCGCAGTTTGTCCAGATTTGTGCTCATTGACAAGAGGTTCAGGCCCAGCAAAGGCTCAGGGAGGAGGGAGCTGAAGCGAAGCTGTGGTCGGTCAGGGGTCTGCAGGAAAGCTCCAAGTCCCCACAGCAGTAATTAGCACAATAATTAATATATGGGACTGGGTTTATTCAAAAGTTTTCCTGCACCAAGCCCTCATTAGGAGGCATCTGTCATTATTGTCTCCCCCTCCCAGCTCTTTAACTGAAGATTACTCACTCAGCTTAATTGCTCCAGGGGCTGGTGCCAGTGACTCACATTCCCTGAGGATGGAGAAAAGGGATCATTGGATCTTTTGGCCCAGCCTGCCCATGTCCCAGTCCTCACTTAACCGTGGCACAGAGGCTGAGGGGGCAGCCCGGGGCATCCCATGGCTCAGCAGGATGAGCCAGATGGGCTTTGAGGGCTGGCTCCCAACATGGGCCTGCCTGAGCTGGGGCAGATCCCCATCCAGGAGACATCCATGGGCATTTTGGGATGGTGGAGCAACCCCCCAGCAGAGCACCAGAGCCCCACGCAGGTCTGTGCTCGCTGAAGAAGGTTCAACACCCCCCCCACACACACACATCTCTCCTGCCGAGGTGCAATTTGTACATCAGAGATCTGAGCTTTCTCGCAGGTCTGTGTGGTCCCAGGGGCTCCTTCGGCCCTGAGATATTCCTCATCTCCATTTCCTCTTGCCAAGAGACTTTGCTGTTTTAAATCACCTCTTGGAAAGATATTTTTAGATAATACATTTTTTACTACCTCTCCAGACGGGGACACGGTGCTTGACTTGTGCCGGGGTTCGTGTGGCTGGTGCTCCCGCCTGGGTGGGTTGGGAGTGAGTGAGGGGAGGGGAAAGGAGGCAGTTCCACTTAGAGCACATTAAAAAACAAACACACCATCCGAGATGTGTCGAGAAACCTGGAAGCGCCTGCCGAGCGACTCAGGCACATAATAGGTGGGAGTGGTTGTGACACCCCACGATCTCCGGAACCTCAGGCTGCAAACGGCCCGGGGGGAGTGGATGAACAGGGGTGGAGGAGCTGCCACCACCCAGCACAGCACTGCAGGGGCTCTGAGTGCCCACCTTGCACAGGATCGTGGGTGCTGGATGTGCCCACCTTGCTCAGTGCCATGGGTACTCTGTGTGCCCCCCTTATTTTGGGTGCTGGATGTGCCCCCCCTGCACAGGATTAAAGTGCTGGATATGCCCTCCTCGTTCAGCATCGTGGGTGCTCTGGGTGCTCCCCTTGCTCACTGTCACGGGTGCTGGATGTGCCCCCCTTGCACAGCACTGTGGGTGCTGGGATTGAATCCCTTCCAGGGTGTTGCAGGTCCCTGTGCACACTGTGGTGGGTGCTGTGCCACCCACACCATGGGTGCTGGATGTACCCTCCTGGCACAGCATCGTGGGTGCTGGATGTGCTCCTTGCAGTGTGGTGGGTGCTGGGTACCACCCACCTTACCCAGCGAGCGCTGTGGGTGCTGGGTGTCCCCACCCCACAGGGTTTTTTGGGGGCTGGGTGTCCCCACCCCACAGGGTTTTTTGGGGGCTGGGTGCCCCCACCCCACAGGGTTTTTTGAGGGCTGGGGGATACTCAGAGTGGGGTTCATGTCCACCGCCATCCTGCCCTGGTCATTCCCACAGAACAGACTCCAGACCTGCAGGCACAGGCTCCAGCAACGCCTTTAGGCCTGAGGTAAAGGTGTTTACCTGGGAAAAATTAAAATATCCCTGCTCAGTGTCCTGCATCCTGTCCCCTGTGGTTTTCCATCTCCATCAGCCACGGGGATCTCTCCCACCCCATCACTCTCCCCGTGGTTGTTCCTCCTTGGTTCCTGGACGCGGCAGGGTCAGTCCATGGGTGCTGCTGAAGCAAGTCCCCCAGGGTGACAGCAGCACAGCAGTATCAGAGGCAGGAGCTCAGCACCGCTCCCAAATCCCAAACGTGGGTGCTCCGGGGGCACAGGTTTGGCTTTGAAGCCTCCTGGGCTGGGCACAGCTGCCTCAATCCTGCTGGAAATCCACAGTCGGTGCTCCGCACCCTCCTTCGCGCTCTCACAGCCGTTCTTCCAGGAACATCACGTGCTCCACGACTAATTTTAGCTCAGAATAATTGTTGCACATCCTTGGGTGTCAAAAGCCGGCAGGACGGCACCGGTGCATCTGCCGGATTCCTGAGGGAGGAAATGCCTGGATCCCTGTGAGCTCCAGGGCTGGGGGGCAGCACCTCATCCCTGCTCCTCCCAGAGCCCCAGCCAGGGGCTGCAGAACTCAGGGAATCAACCCATGGAGAGGCAGAGTTAGATCAGCTCCTTGCAGGTGTGGGTAGGGGCACATTTAGGATGAGGTAGGGCTTAATAACATGATGTGGGGCTCCAGGGTGAGGATGCTGGAGCATCACTGGGCTTTCTTGCCCCTGTTGTGGGGCTCTGGGGATCAGAGAAGGTGCAGGAGTGGTGGGTGTAGCAAGGCCATCGCTGGTTGTGCTGCTGAGGATCAGCTTTGGGGTTCTTGGAGCTGGTGGGAAGCTTTCAAGTGCCTGGAACTCCAGCAAAGGCCCTGGAGACCTGAATTGTGGAAGATTCCTGAGACAAACAGGGACACCCGAAGTCTGTGGTGAGCCCATTCCAAGAGATGGCTTTCCAGCCTTCTCATCCAAAGCCATTTATTCCCTCCGTGCCTCCGTTTCCTATTTGTGGTATCGGAGAGTGGCCGAAAGGGGAATGTCTGAACAACAAAATCAGTTTGTATTTTGTCCCAGGGACATTTCTTCTGCATGAAAGCAGAGGGGGTGAGCTCCACCTTTGTCCTTCACAACAATTTCCCACCAGGATTCCTCAGCAGCCTTGGATAAATCCCAGGAAATTCAGTCTCCCACAGACAAACAGGGACACAGGGAACAAACTAAGGCTGAACTGTCTGAGTCTTGTCCCCAAAAATTGAGTCATTAGGAAATAATTTCCTGTAAATTGCTTCAGTAGGAGATTTCCAAGCTTGTTTCTATTCACCTCCCCTGTAAGAGTTCTGATGGGGACATCCAGCCTCGCACTCCCATGTGCCCCACACGTATCCCAGTCCTGACATGGTGGGACTTGGGAATGGCTCTGGGTGAAGGCACCAGCACCAGCAGCTCCCCAAATAGACGTGAGAGAGAAAATTCCTCAACAGAAGTGGAAAGATCAGAGCAGGCATTTCTAAGCATTTATTTTTAAATGACGGCAAGAAATTGAGCTCTTCCTTTTGGAGCCTCATTTCTTGCCTGGCCATGGCAATCGCAATTAGACGCATTTCAGGGGCATTAGGCACTTAATATATTTATCAAATTATTCCCGTAATTTAGCATGGCTTTAGCTGGGAACAACTTGAGAGGGGAAAATGAGAATTAACCACTGTTAGCTTGAACCCCCTTGAAATAATTCAGTGTTTTATCAATGATTAACAAGTTGGAGTTTTTTCATTACTGTCTGGAGGAGCGATGTGTTCCTTCAGCAACAGAAGATGTTCAGTCCCTTAGAAGTCCCTGTGCCCGGAGAGACACTGTCTGGGGAATCTCTGGGTTTGAAGGGACTGAAGAGACATCACCAGGATGGAGTGAGGAGGATGGTCTATGTTGTATGTGGTCCTGCCTATGTATGTGAGGCACAGGCACCTGTGTCATCTCCAGCACACCCAGAGGGGCTGAGGAGGGAAATGTCCGTGTTCTCCTGGTCTGTGTGGGGCAGGAAAGCTCTTGGATAAAAGGTTTGTGGGATTTCCCTTGCACATCTGCCCAGATGTGGCCGTCTCTTTATGAAAAACTTCGAGGTGAGATTTCCCTTCTGCACCTGACAGAAAGCCAAGGTGTTTCCCACCCAGGAGAGGTGTGAGAGCCGTTGGCATGGAATGTTTCATGGGATGTCCAGGACCACGGGGTGATCCCAGTGGCACCCACCACACACACAGAGCGCAGGGTAAACTGTGAGCTGCCACCAGACACATCACACATTTCCCTTCTCATGCTTCCAGACTGGGAACTGATGAGAAAAAGTGATCAGATGGATCCCAAAAAAAATCATACTAACCCCCAGCAGCAGCTTTGCATCATTAGTGGCTTCCCCATATCCCTGGGGCTACAGAACCGTTCCCGTGTCGGCTGCAGCCGCTCGCACCGGGCGGCTCTGCGGGTGCTGGGGGTGATGTGAGGGCGGGTTTGGTGTCAAACCAGCGGTGCCTTTCTCTGGGTCCAGTGGCAGCAGCTGTTTATTGTGCTGAGGTGCTGCTGTCCCGATGCCACCCTGCTCTTCCCAACCATCCAACGCTGTTCTGCGACATGAAAACCCCGGCGGGCACTCACAGAATAGAAATAACCCTGTCGCCTTTCTCTCCCCCTCTCTCCTCCCCCTTTCACGGCCGCACAAAAAGGGCTCGAATGCCAGAGACCGAAGCGCCAGAACTCGAGCGATGACATCGAGGTCCTGTCCACCGGGACCCCCCTCCAGCAGGAGAGCCCCGAGCTGTACCGCAAAGGGACCACCCCGTCCGACCTGACCCCCGACGACAGCCCGCTGCAGAGCTTCCCTGCCAGCCCCTCCTCCACGCCCCCCCTGGGCCCTTCCTGCAGGAACAAGAGCGCCCACTTCTCCAGGCAGGTCTCGGTGGACGAAGAGAGGGGCGGGGAGATCCAGATGTTGCTGGAGGGGCGTGGCGGGGATTACCTGCGACCCAACAGCTGGAGCAGCGAAGAGAAGGCCGGCGGGACGCGCGGAGTGAGAAGCGGGACCCTGCGCGCTGGGCAGCTGGGGGCGGCCCCCGCCCCCGAAGACTACCGAGGTCGGAGCGGAGGGCACAAACACTCGGCCTCCAACCACAAGCAAAGAGAGAGGTGGACAGATTCCCCTGCCACGGTTTCATGGACTTCCCACCACAGGTCCCACAACCACAGCTCAGGGAGCTCCAAACTGCTTGAGCTGGACGAGGAGAAGATGAGCAATTACGAGATGGAGATGAAGCCCCTCATGAGGATGGATTCTTATATGCAAGAGATTCACACCCAAAAAAGACACTACAGCAAAGGGGGAGGCTGCAGGAGCGTGGCTGACGACCACCGTGGGGAAGAGCGGGGCTTCGGGGTTCAGAGACTGAGGTCTAAGTCCCAGAACAAAGAGAATTTCAGGCCAGCTTCCTCTGCAGAGCCCACGGTGCAGAAACTGGAAAACCTGAGATTCGGGGACAAAGCTGAACCTCGGCTACTAAGGTGGGACTTAACCTTCTCCCCGCCACAGAAATCTTTACCTGTTGCACTAGAATCTGAAGAGGACAGTGGGGATGCGCTCAAATCCAGTACGGTGAGTAGGAGAAACTGGGTGTGGAAATCTGGTGGAGAAACCTGGTGCTGTTGTGGGTCTGGGATGGGAAGGAAAACTGAAAAACCTGAATTATTGTTGGGTTTTGCCTTGGATCCCCCCTCCTCGTGTCTCCCATCCTGTGAGGTTTTCCCTGAAGACTGCTGTGGTGGGAACAGCAGGATTTTCACTGGAGGATGTGAGCAGCGAGTTTGAGTTTGTTTTGCAGCCCAGCCCCTGGATAAAAATCCATTATTGCTGGGAATTCAATGGAAAAGCTGCAGGAGTAGACAAGGCATTGGTGATGATTCCATTTGGTTTAACCTGTTTTGTTGGTTCTGGCAACAGAACTTCATGGTGGTCCAGGAGTGTGTGGAGGACAACCCTTGTGAGACATCCCATCCTGGGCTCCTCATTTTGGGAGGGTTAAGGATACTTCGGGCATTAAGTGGCTGCTGGGAAGAGCAGGAGGTGTTCAGGCCAAAGGAGAGGAGACAGAGTGATCTTCAAACACATAAAAGCTGCTGCAAAGTGGAAGGGAATAATCTGTTCTCGGTGAACAGAATTAATGGGCTTAAATTCAAGTCTTAGAGGAGGGGCGAGCCATTAGCCATCGCTAATGAGTTGAGGGCTGTAATTAATTGCCTGGGGAGACTGTGGTGGATGGGGGGGAGGAGAGGGTCTAAGACCTGGTTGGACATCAGCAGCTCAGTTGGAACCTGGGCAGAGCTGAACCTCCTTGGGAGGAGGCTGAGCTGTGTGGTTTTCAGGTTCTTGGCAACCCTGGTTTTTGATGATTCCTGGTTTTATCATGGAGAAACTTCCTCACTTGTTCTCCCTGTTGCTTTGGCGTTGCTAGAAGAGGTCATGGGGGTCTAATGGGGCCAGTAGGGAAGCTGCCACTGCCCCATATTGCCCCTTGTCGAGTCAGTGCCAAACACAAGGCAGGGCTGGAGGTGCCCCAGGCTGGATGTCCCAGACCAACCCAGGAGAAGTGGAAAACCTGTAATGCTCAGACAGGGATATTTCAGGCTCTGGCAGAAGAAAGGATCTAAATCTCCCTGTCAGGGGAGCAGAGGATGGTGCTTGGGTGTTTTGGGGTCAAGGAACTGAAATGAATTTGTCAGTCACGCTGAAAATTTGGGCTCGAGGCATGATGGTGTGTAAGGGATGATTCCAGTTGCCATACCTACAGCATCCCTGCTCCTCCAGCACCCTGCCAACATGGCCAAGGTGTTGGCACCTCCAAAGGTGGGATCTGCAGCCCAGGAGCAGCCAGGATGCAGGAAGGACTAAACTACTGATCTGCCACAGCTTCCGTGCTGTGGCTGTGGATAAATCCCCCCCACACACACAGCCCTGAGCTTTCTGCCTTCCTGTTCATCCTGTGAGCTCGGCACAGGCTCGGGAGCACCCACACGGCTCCGAGGGGAGCTGAGCACACTGCGTGCTGGTGTCTGCTCTGCAGGACACGTCCTGAGCCCAGAAAACACAGAGCTCCAGTGAATTCATCCCTGAGCACACCCCACTGAGCAAACCCGCGGGTGTTGAGCCGTCCAGGCTGTCCTTACCTGCCTGTGTGGATGCCTGGAAGCACTGGAGACATGACAGGCAGCATTAGGAGCCTGACAGGCTCTCACAGGGGAAGAGCAGCAGCAGTAATTGCACAGACACCAACCCTGTTGAAGTCTGTGGGACTCGCAGATGCTGCAGCATCTTTGACAACATGACCTCCCGTGGCAGCAGGGAGCTGGGAGAGACATGAATCACAAAGGAGGGATGAAACCACAGTTTCTCCTCACCGAGAGCCACACGATCTTCAGGAGATCTCTGGCACAAACAGTCCTGGGGTCTCTCTCCACCCACACCGTGTCAGACACGCTGTCGAGACTTCCACCTCGCACATAAACCTCCCTCACAGCACTGGAGGCAAATAGCCACTAGCACAACATCACTGGCTATTCCCAGGGAGTCCTGGGCACTAAGGAAGGGGCACAGCCTGAGTGGAAGAGCGCATGGAAAAGCCATTAGGATGCACATCATACTTGTGAAGTGCTGTAGCTGTGGAGCAGCATGTTCGGTTTTCTCACATTCATAACCGAGGGTGGAACAGATGGCGAAGGTTTGGGAGGAAGCTAATGTAATACAGAGGAAGAGATAATATGTGGATTTAAATAACCCACAATGCCAGCAACAATTTGTTCTAGCAGGAATTGCACGGTGCTAGCAGGGTTTGGTTCCAGGGGCCTGGCAGAGAGGGGGTGGTCAGAGAGGAGCAGGGGGAGGTGTAGGAGAGGAATGGGAGGTACAGGGATGTGTGTTCCAACCTCCTGCCTAAACCCACGACCTTGCCTGCACCTGCCATCAAGGCCCTCAGAGCATTTCAAATTTCAGTGAGCGTGGTGAGTCCCCGAGGAAGAGGAGGGTCAGACTAAGGGGGAAGGATTTACCCCACAGTCCCCACATCCACCTCCATGTGTGCGCTCAGCAAGGCAGAACATTCACCGTTCACACACGTAATCCTGCAAAAATCCGCTGCATCCTGCTCGTGCTCCAGATCCCTCCACACAGAACGAAGGCTCCTCAGTTTCCCCCAAATCTCCATTTCTCACACACTAGACTGAAATTCCCCTTCCCTTCGTCCTCCCTGGTGAGCGGCAGCTCTGGGGCAGGGCCGGCTGCACACGCGTGTCTGTGCACGTGTGTGTGTGTGTGTGTGTGTGTGTGTGTGTGTGTGTGCGTGCCCACAGTGCCTCAGCTTGCATGACAGCCTGCCTCCCTGGGATCCACAGCACTGCCATCTGGGAAGCTGCTCCCTGCAAAGGGCATTTCTCATCTCCCAGGCAGCTGGGCTGTTCCAGAAAGGTGCCTGCCAATGAGCGGGAAGGATGCTCGGAGCTGAGTAGGGCTATTTTTGCCCTACCTGGAGTATCCCTGTGCCAAACTGAGGTCACCCTCCCAGCTTAGCTTGTTTTAAAAATAATCTGCCATAAACCAGCTCTACACAAGCCATCAATGAGCCCAGTGAGCTGGCTCTGTGTTGAAGTGCCAGGCCCAGCTTCCAGAGAAGGCACACCTCTGGCAGTGCTCACCAGAGAAGGCTTGCAGTGCAGGGCTTACAAAAACACACCCAAAAAACCCCACTGCTCCTGATTTCTCTGGACCAGCTGGAGGCTGTGGGGTCCCTCATTTCCAGCCTTTTCCCCCCCTGCAAATGTAGGAATGCACACTCCAGGGAGGAGTCAGACTTACAGGTTGCTCTAGGAGCTGTGGGAACTTTTCTCTGTCATTTTTCACCAGTCCTTTTAAAGAAGCTCCCATTTGTTGGAGCTGCACATAAGTAATTGAAAAGTACTCTTAGGAAGGTCATTTTTTGAGGCCACCACTCAATAACACTGATGAAATTCAGCCCTGCTTGGCGTTCGCTCTCAGGGGATTTGGGGGTTTCGGGGTCATCGAGCCAGTGCTGAAACCACACAAATGCTTTAAAATCACATTTAAAGCCAACTGATCTCTCTGTGTCTCTGTGTGCACTGACCCCCTCATTCACAGAACAAACTCCCATCAATTGTCAGCGTTGGGGCAGAGGGAAAAAGGAACCAATGTGCCGGGACCGGTGTCGGTGTTGTCGGATTAAGGGATTTATAGGAACGTCACCATCCTTTCCATCCTTAAAGGCCCACGAGGCACAAAGCTCAAGCCTGTGCCTGGATGCCTCAGAGGTTCCTGGAGCCTTTGAGGAGATCTAAAATGGGAAAGGAAAAAAGGAATTGTTGAGCAACTGAGAAAGGAAAGTGGCTTTCTAAAACACCAGCAACCCTTTTATCCATCTGCACAAAACACAGCACACTGTAGGGCTGGGGGGAAAAGAAGAGACCAGATCTCCTTTTCTGCAGGTGCTGAACATCTGCAGCTTCTGAGAGGGACAAGAAGGGCTGTGGGCACAGAGGAGCTCAGCATGCCCGCGGGAAGGGCCGGTGCACAGGCACGAACGGAGCCTGATTCATCTGCCTGTCCTCATTTAGCAGGAGCAATCACGGCCGTTTAGGTGGAGACTTCCAGGGACACGTCGTGGTCTCACTAAAGGCACCCTGGAGACGTGAGTAGGCTCGAGACTTGGCCCTTTAAAATCCCACTGTCTCATCGCATCGAGACCGATGGGAGGGCAGGAGCCAAAAAATAACCCCACCCCAGCCACCCCTGACATTTCCTTCCACCGTCACAGGCTGGCGGATAAAATCCCAGCGCTCTCAGCTGTTCGCTGCCTCCTCCTGCAAACAAATCCGGGGGAAAAAAAACTGCAGCAAAGGCAGTTTAGAGGCTTCTCCTGGGCGAGGGATCTCCGAGAGAGACCCCCCTGTCCCCCCCCCCCCAGGCCCCCGCGGGGGAGGCGGGGAGGGATTCCAGGGCTGCAGCATCTCCCTCCCTCGCGCGGCGAGCGAGGGGCGTATTTGCCATCAAGATATTCCGAGCAGGTTTCGCTGTCGCTGGGGAAAGTGAGGAGGAGGCAGCCAATCTGCAGCAGGAGCAGGGATCTGCCGAGTGCTCCGCGCAGCCGGAGGGAGCCGAGGGAGGGATCAGGGCAGGGGGCTCAGGGCACAGCCTGGCACGGGACGGGGAGGAGGGGATGGAGTGCCAGAAATGGCACCTCCCCACCGATGCCATGAGGGATGCTCCCCTTCTCCAGCGCTGTGGGGTTATTCTTGAAGGGACTGACCTCGAAGTGACATGTTTTCTTTGGAGAAGTTGGGCGCTTTTAGCCCTAGAGATTGTAAAATGAGTTAAAAATAAGAACTGGGTGTTTTCTCTGTCCCAAATAGGCACCCACTGTTTGGGTTGTGCGCAGAGATGCTCCCAGATGTCTGCTTGGGACCAGTCTACTGGGAAAGGCACCTGGGGACTTGTTTGGCATTAACATCCCTGGGATTGAACCCCCTGGCTTATCCCTGTGGTCTTAGTCTTCCAGCTTCAGGTTTTTCCATTTATTTTTATTCCCCATCAGG